AAGGCACAAATTTTTCTTAATGGCCTATGACCCGAATTCGTTCTAGCCATTGCTCTCTCTACCCGAATACTTTTCAGACCGCTTATGAACACGCAAAGACCTATGAGAGTACCTGCTGTCAAAGTCTCTCTTATTTCTCTGCTTTATTAAATGCTTTGTATATGATACACTTCACCCCTTCTGCCCTTGTAAGAATCCAACCCCGGTATTCACCTTTGAATTGGCAATTGAAAAATTGACTGAGGCTGTCAACAAAATGCTTCTCCAACTACAAGAGAAAAGGCCACCTACCTCTGAAAATACAAGTCAGCCTGTATGTTATAGGTGTAGTCAACATGGCCATATCAGCCAGAATTGTCAAATGACAAATCCCCAATCTAATTTTTCTAATTCGGCCCTCCAGAATCAGTCGCTAAACTTATCTCCAAATCTAACTCCTGTAAATCATCCTTTTAATCTACCACCGCCTATGTCTATAAATCTGGGATCTAACAATACATCTGAAAATCAGCAACAAGAGACTCTCTAGACTCTATTAGCTTTGGCCGCTAGCTTAAACCCCAATGGTCAAAGTAATCAACCTACCTACATCAGCATTCTTGCTAAGGATGTTCCTTTGTTTACTGTAGGCAAGCGAGACCCTTAATAACCTAGTGGTAATCTCCACCCTACCAAATAAAGAAAAGAAAAGTTAGAAGAAGTGGAGTTAGAGGAAGACACTTTGGAACAATTAATGGAGGAAGAAGCAAAAGAAGAGAAAAAGATTGATAACCCCTGAGACAATTGTAAAACCTCCTGTTGTCCCCACTAAGGTTATTACTGCGAAGCCTAGACATATTGTCCGTAAGAAAGTTCAAGAAGATGAACTTCCCCAAATTGCGTCTTTGGTTTCCCTCTATTCAATCGTCACAGATATTCAGGATAAGCCCGCTAATATTACCTATGGCCAACTCTTTCGAATCACCCCTGTATTACAAGAAGAATTGGATCAGAGTCTGCAGAAGAAAAAGGCTTTTACTAAAAGTAAAGTAAAAGCAAATATTAGTATCAGTACTGAGAAAAAGTCCACCACCCTTTACTATGATGCCCAGGTCCTAGGTGTGAACATCCCCTTGATCATTGATAGGGGTTATCAGAAAGTATCATATCATCACATCTTCTTCGAGATTTGGGTATCAAAGTCGAACACCCTTTCACGGTGAATATGATTAACATCAATGGTGAAAGTAAGAGGGCTTTAGAGGAGATATCCAACTTCTCCTTTAAAGTCAGAGGAATGGAAATCTCTATCGATGTTGTCGTTACAGATGCGGAATCGTATTAAACTATCGTTAGAAATGATTGGCTTTCTAAAACCCAAGCTACGATTGATTGGGTAGCTTCAGAAATGACCCTTACTTGGAAAGGTAAGGAACTTACTCTCCTCGTAAAATTCAAAAAGATCACTCATATCTCCCTTGGTAATAATTGCTCTATTACAGTCTGCGATATTGACGAAGAAGCTGAAGAAGAAGAAGCTGAAGAAGAGTTGGAGAATAGTGACAAAGAATACGAGAAAGAGGAGTTAGAGGATAGAATTTATGGATATTCTGAAATAAATGAAAATGAAATAACTAATCACTTGCCTTTACCTAGTCCTCCTGATATCCTGATTTTAGATTCCCCCATTAACGTATATTATACCCTCCTTAATTTGCCCTTCTACCTTTATCTTCTAATAATAAAGACAATAATATCTCTCTACCAAACAATGCCAGCATCTCATACGACCCACCCTGTCTCCCCCAAAATAATGTTTATGATCCCTTACCTTCTACCTCTTTGGCCCATCCTTCTATAAATGTTTATTTGCTGATGACTCGGGTTGAGGATGGTCAGCATAGGGAAATCCTCATTCCTCTCTTTAATGTAAACAATTTACCCCCGTTAGTCTACTATAACTCTGACTTGGACAATTCTAGTAAGGAGAAGTAGTATTCTTATCTAGATTTTAGCCTACCAAAAGTTGAGGTGGATGATTTCGACTCTGACGCAGATGATAATATTGATAAAGATCACTAAAAAGCAAGAATAAAGAAAGAAAAAAATAAACCTGTTAATGTTAAATGTTGCTATGATGAAGCAGGAAACACTTATCTCGAGAAAGATAGTGCTAAGCCTGATCTCCGTGAATGTATTACAAATGCCCTTGCTGTCAAATTCCCTGTTAGTGACCTTTTTGATTATTATTATAAGGAATGGCAAAAGCCCTACAAAATTGGAAGTCTGAAGTCCAGACAACATTTTTGGCTCCAGCAATTTCTAAATAATAACCTAGATCTTTTTATCTAGCAGAAAGAGCTACTAGGCTAAACTAACCTTGTCAAGCATCATATTGACACTGGTGATACACTCCCGATTAAACAATATCCCTACCAGTATTCTCCTGCTAAGAAAAAGATTATCCAAGATAAAATCGGCCATATGATTTTAACCGGTATCATTCGCCCTTGTCAAAGCCTCTGGACCTCCCCCATTGTATTGGTTTCCAAAAAAGATAGGAGTACTCAATTCTGCATCAACTATCGAAAGCTCAATGCTATCACTATAAAAGATAATTACCCTCTTCCTCGTATTGATGACCTCCTGAAAGCCCTTTCCGGATCGAGCTGGTACAGCTCCTTAAACATTGCCAGTGGATACTTGCAGGTCAAAGTTGATGAATCGAATCATCTCAAAACCACCTTTACCACCCCTTTTGGTACTTTTCAATTCAATGTTATGCCATTCGGCTTGGTAAATGCCCTGCTATGTTTTAACAGCTGATGGATTATATTTTCCAAGATCTGATTGGCACATGTGTAGTTATATATTTGGATGATATTAACATCTATTCTAAAAGTTTTGATGAACATTTGACTCATCTGGAGGAAATTATTCATCACTAAGTTCCGCTGGCCTAAAGTTGAAACCTACTAAATGCTATTTTGCCAAGCAGAAATTAAAATTTTTAGGTCACATAGTTAGTCAAACTGGAATTGCTACTGATCCTAAAAAAATTGAGGCCGTTTAGAATTTTTCCATCCTCCGTAATATCAGGCAACTTAAAAGCTTTTTGGGATTGGCTTTCTACTACTGGAAGTTTGTTAAGGGCTTCACCAATCTTGCAGCACTGTTAAATCAACTCCTAAAAAAGGGCATTAATTATAAATAGACTACTGATCAGCAAGAGACCTTCGAAGTACTAAAAGAAAAATTAACAACTACCCTATACTCGCTTATCCTGACTTCTCCTAGACCTTTATTCTTTTCACCAATACTTCCGACCTGGCCCCTTGGTACTATTCTCACCCAAAATGATGAGGCTCATTGTGAGAGAGTTATTTCTTATTCAAGTCATAGCCTCACCCCAGCTGAAAAG